CAGTCGGTCAAAAAGGACTTACAGCTAACTTTTTTTTTTGTAAATTTCTTTTATTCAAAGATTTTTCATTTTATGCAGAAAAAGGAAAAACATTGTCGCAGACACGCAGGTCCGATAAAGGCTTTCCCAGTCCATGTCTCAGACATGAGATAATCATTGTGAACAACATAGTGACATGCAAGTCATCTAGCAGATCAAAGACGTATACTAGTTGGGCTCTTGGGTCCTATACACCTTTGTGTGGATGGGGTTTTCCCTCTCTCGTACGGTTGTTGTGGCTATGGTATATCACCCAGTGTGACAAAGGTGGTTGGTGTCTTGTGTCTAGGCAGGTGGTGTGTGTTGACCAACTGTATGGGGGGGAAACCGGGTGATGTGTGTGCTTTGCGCGTTCAGTTCTCAGATCTTTGGTGGCAGTGGGGTATACCCCTGTTGATCTGGCTGGGGTGGAGGTGGTTTGTACCGTCTTTAACTCCCGCCTTTGGCGTGGGTGCAAAGTTAGGCTTGTTTCTCCTTGTCTTATCCTTAACTGTGAACCCCTGTCCCTTTTCCTGTTTTCCTGTCTGATTCTCTTTGTCTCCTTCATACTTGACTTCCTTACTCCTTTCCCATTCCTTTCCCTCCTTTCTTATTCTCTCTTTTTACTCTTGGCTATCCCCTTCTTGTTTTTTTTTTTCCTTCTCCCTTTGCTGCCCTTATCTTTCCCTCTCTTCCCTTCTTTGCTTAGCTGGTGCCCCTCCGTCTGGAGCCTCTACGTCTTATGAACTTCTCTACTTTGTCGCCTTCCCGTCCGCGGGTTCCCCCAGGGGGGACCGGTGAGGGGGGGGGAGGGGTGGGGGGGGGAGAGGGGGAGGGGGTGTTTTATTTATTGTGATGTTGATTTTTCCTGTTTGTTTGTGTAGTCACTCCCTCAGTCAAGGTGGTCGTTTGTCCCTTCAGGTGTCTGCAGTCACGTCAGCAGGTCCTGGAAGTCAGCGTTAGTCGAGGTCAGTATCCAGTGTGTCCAGATCGTCATGTACGTCTGGGTCCTCCCTTCTGCCAGCAGGGAGAGCTCTTCCAGAGCTCTCAGCTCCTCCATTTTTTGGTACCACGTCCCCAGCGGGGGCGCACATTGTTTTTTCCAGTAAAGGGGGATTAGGCTTTTGGCTACATTAAGTATCCGTATCGTTAAGGATTTTTTATATGTTGATGCTTTCGTCTTGGTGTGATGGATGAGGAATGTTGCGGGGTTCATGGGTGGTGGGGAGTCTGTGAATCTTTTGATGATCGTGTGGATGGTTGACCAGTATGGTTGGATGATTGGACATTCCCACCATATGTGGAGGTGTGTTCCCTTGTGCGTGTTGCACCTCCAGCATACGTCGTCCTTCGTGGGGTCGTATAGGTGTGTGTGGAGTGGGGTGCGGTTATATGCTGTTTCTTGCGTTCCGCTAGATGGTGCGCAGTGTAGTGAGAGGGTGCAAATTTTGTCCCATTGGTTGGGTGTGAATGTAGTGCCTAACACTGTTTCCCATTTCCCCATGAAGCTTGGGGGTGGCAGCCTCCTCAACCGCATGATCATTCCATAGAGCGTTGACAGGCCCCTCGGCAACGGGTCCGGGTCCATGCATATCTCTTCAAACGTTGTTAAGGGTCTGAGAGTGTGATTGTTTCGGGTGGTTTCTTGTATGAGCCCTTTCAGTTGTCGGTATCTGAATTGGAGCATGAATGGGTGGTTGGAGTTCCCCGTCATGGTCTCTAGTGATTTGATGCGGCCGTTGTCTATGGCGTGGAAAAGCCTCGGTATGTCTTGTCCCAGCAGTTGGACCAACGTTCTTGGTTCCCTTCCTGGCGGGAAGACCTCATTATGTATAAGAGGCATCATTGGGGATGGCGTGGAGGTGAGCGAGAGTGGTACCGCCAGAGCTTGCCATACCCGTACGGTCGCTTTGATTAGGGGGTGTGGAGCAGCTAGCTGCCTACTTTGTTGGGGGTCCAGCCAAGGGAGGACTGCCATCGGACTCTCCACCAGGGAAGACTCCACATCTTTCCAGAGTTTCTCCACTCCTTGTTTAGACCACTCCACTATCCTTTGGATGTGAGTGGCTCTATGGTATCTCTTAAAATCTGGCAGAGCTAGGCCTCCCTTGACCTTCGGTAGTGTGAGCACGTCGTGTTGAATCCTGGCCTTCTGTCTCTGCCATGTGAATCGGAGGGCCATCGATCTAAGGGAGGTAAAAAATGCCTCCGGTATGGTCGCGGGGATAGCTTGAAACAGGTAGAGGATCCTCGGTAGGATGTTCATCTTGAGCACTCCCACTCTTCCAAACCATGAGAGGCGCACCTGGTCCCATTCCTGCAAGTCCTTCTGTATCGTGGTCAGGAGTGGTTGGAAATTCGCTGCATACAGTTGGGCGAGGTCGTTTGTTAGCACCGCGCCGAGGTATTTTAGGGAGGTGGCAGACCATTGGAATGGCAGCGCTCGTTTGAGGGCCGTCGCTCTGGACTTCAAAACGGAGACATTGAGGATCGTGGATTTGGAAAAATTGATTTTAAAGTTTGAGAGTTCCCCGTATTGTTCGAATTCTTTCATTATCGTGGGCATGGATGTTTCCGGTTTAGTTACGAAGAACAGTAGGTCGTCCGCATATGCTGCCACTGCGTGTTTCCCCGCTCCTGTCTTCAATCCCGGGATATCCGGGTTGTTCCGGATCGAGTTCAGGAATGGTTCCAGGGCAAGCACAAAGAGCAGGGGGGAGAGGGGGCAGCCCTGTCTGGTTCCATTCCTGATCACGAAGGGGTCCGTGAAGGCTCCATTTATGCAGATCCGTGCTGTTGGTTGTGAGTACAAGGCCCTGATCCAGGACATCATGTGGGGCCCCATCCCCAGTTTGTCGAGGACCTGGAACATGAAGTCCCATGCAATCCTGTCGAAGGCCTTCTCCGCGTCCGTGGAGAGCAGGAGAAGGCCCTCCTGTCTAGTTTTTGCTAGGTGGATCAGGGAAAGTGCTCTGATCGTGTTATCGCACGCTTCTCGGTGCGGGGTAAATCCCACCTGGTCCTTATGAATCAAGTTCGGGAGGTGGGCCTGCAGTCTCTGTGCGAGTATCTTCGTAAAAAGCTTCAAGTCGTTATTTAACAGTGAGATGGGGCGATAGTTCGCACAGTGTTCAGGATCTTTCCCGTCTTTAGGAATTAGGATGATGTTGGCCGCCAGGGTCTGTGTCGGGAATATCTGCCCGTCTCGGATCGCATTGAGTGCCGTCGTGAGGCGTGGGACGAGAAATTCCGCAAAGGTTTTGTAGTAGCGTGCTGGTAGGCCGTCCGGTCCGGGGCTCTTGCCCGTCTTGGCCGTTTTGAGAGCCCATGCTACCTCGTGCGTCTCGATCGGTTCGTCTAGCTCTGTACATGCCTCCTGTGAGAGGCAGTTGCCGATGCGCGGTTCTAGATAGTCTGTTATCCGCATCTTCCTTTCTGTGTCCGCTCCCTGTCCCCTGGGCGGGTCGAGGGAATAGAGGTCCGCATAGTACGCCCTAATGGTGTTGGCCATCTCGGTCGGCATACTGTGCAGCTTCCCATCTCTGTCTCTGATCCCCGGGATGTAGGCCGCTGCTCTCTTTTTGGCGATCATGCGGGCAAGGAGGGCACCACATTTGTTGGCATTGGTGTAAAAGAACGCTTTGGAGTGTAAGTATGCTCTATGGTGATTGGCATTCAGGATAGAGGAGAGTTCCCTCCTGAGTACCGTTAGCTGTGTCCAGTCTGCTATCAGGTGGGTTTGTTTGTGTCTACATTCCAAAGTCTGTATGTCCTGAATTAGTGTTTTAAGTCTGGCAGATTTGGCTTTTTTAAGCGCGGCGCTTTTCGCTATAAAGTGGCCTCTCATTACGCTTTTATGAGCCTCCCATAGGCATAGGGGCGTGACCTCAGACGTATCGTTTTCTGTAAAGTATTGCGTAATTCTTTCCCTGGCTTCTGTCGTCACTGTAATGTCGTTTAAGATCGATTCGTTCAGTCTCCAGTTACTGCAGGTGGGCCTATAGAGTGGGGAGGTTAGTGTCATCGTAATTGGAGCGTGGTCTGACCATGTCGCTGTTCCAATGTCCGTTCGTCGAACCTCAGTCAGGTAGTAATGTGGAATGAGGAAATAGTCTATTCTAGAGTACGTTTTGTGGGGGATAGAGTAGAAAGTGTAGTCTCGGTCTTCAGGGTGTAAAGCTCTCCAGCAGTCAACCAGACGCTTCTCTCGCAGCGTTTTTGATATGTTTGTTAAGATATGCTGGGGGGTCGTAGAGAGGCCTATGGATGTGTCTATGGTCGGCGTCAGGGCCACATTGAGGTCCCCTCCAACGACCAGGCAGCCCTCCGCGAAGCCCTCTATTGTTCTAAGTGCTGTGCGTAAAAATTGGTGTTGGCGTTTATTGGGGGTATATAGGTTTGCGAACGTGTATGTGCGGCCTGCAATTGTGCCTTTGACACATATATACCGTCCGTGGCTGTCTCGCAGTGTGTCAGTGGGGGCAAAGTGTAGCGATCTATGGATCAGGATTGCTGTGCCTTTGGACTTTCCCTCCGGGTTATTACTCAGGAAACATTGTGCGTAATGTTTGTCCGTCAGTCTGGGCACGTGGCCCTCTTTAAAGTGTGTCTCCTGAATGAAGACTACCTGTGACTTTTGACTGTGGAAGTGACGTAGGGCATGCGTGCGTTTTTCGGGTATGTTCATGCCTTTAGCGTTGATGGAGAGGAATTTAATCTCCGCTTGTTTGTGTGTGTTGTGGCGTGGCATGTTTGCTATGTTTCAGGAGAATCAGGGTATGGTGGGGAGGGTTGGGGAGTATGGGTGGGTGCTAGAGGGTTTGGTTTACTCCTCAAGTGTGGGTCTGAAGTCGGGGATGGGTCCCACTGGGTCCCGCGGGCGGGCGCGGCTTTCAACAATTCTTAACAAATGTAACAGTAATAAACAACAATAATAAACTGTGTGTGTTTTCCAAAAAAAGACTAGGGTGTGGGCTAGGTAGGAGTCAGCTGTGCAGCACCTGTCGGCACAGCTGAGTCCTCCCGCCGGTATCTTGGTTCCCCTGTCTACCGGGAACGTGGCCCTCTAACTCCCTCACCTCGTAGGGCCAATAGTGGTGGATCCTTCTCCTTTCTAGGTCTCCAGTGTCCCCCGGCCCCCTCTGCTCGGAAGCTATATAATCAGTACAGGTGGTGGTGGCAGCCTCTGGGCCCAGCCCGTCCCGGCCCTTTCCCTATCTCCCAGGTGTGTGTTCGAGTGTGTGCTCGCTTGAATGGCTTTACCCTGCTAGTCTCTCCCCTGTGCCCCTAGATCTCTTTTGCCGGGTGGTGAGTTATGTCGCCGTGTTGTGGCTTGTAGGTGTGTGGCTTTAAGGTATATAACTAGCTGGCCTTACACCTCCCATTTCGTGTCCCTCCCCTTGCTGTGATGTTCTGGGGGTCCGGTTGGTATTGGGGGCCTGTCCCTTCTTATAGTGCTCGCCCTCCCTGGTAACCTCCGCTCCCTCTCTCTGTTGGTCTCTCTCTCTGTTGGTCTGGAGCGAGCCTTTATTCAGCCTCAGCCTCCCCTTTCCCAAATCCCCCCACCCAAACGGGAAAGAGGGAAAACAAGAGAAGAGAGAGAAAAAAAAAAAAATTAAAAAAAAAACCCCCCCTGGAGGAAGGGGAAAGCAGAGAGGAAGGGCAGAACAACCCCATACATCTTCCCCCCCCAATATACCCAGAGTCCCCAGTGTTTCTTTCGTGGGTTCCTCGATTGTGCTTGCGAAATGTCTCGTATGCCCACTTCTGATGGTCTCCCCTCCCTCCCTCCCATGGCATGTGGGTGTCTGAGTGTTTTAACGGCTAAGTGTGTGGCCCATGTGTGGTGTAGGCCTCCGTGTGGAGTGTCCCAGTGCATAGTTACGAGTTCCATGCGTGGCTCCTGTCTTGTATGTCCGTTAACGTGTTGCCCCTGCTGGCCTCACGGTCTCCAGTCTTGTTCGGTGTCTGCGCTGTGTCGGTGCAGGTTCCCCCTGGGGTGTAGGTGGGCTGTTGTAGAAATCCAGTGGATCTGGCCAGGTCAGATTAAGGGGTGGCAAGTGGAGATCTTCTGACAATTCCTGTAGGTCCTGTGGGGTGCGGATCGGTCTGGGGCCGTTTTGGGTGGTGGCGATCAGGCCTGTGGGGAATGTCCAGCGGTATCTTATTTTCTGGGCCACTAGCATTCTGGTGAGCGGTTCTAGTGCCCTGCGATATCCCAAGGTAGCTGGGCATAGGTCCGGGTACAGTTGGAGATGTGAGCCTTCATGGGTGATTTCTCCCTTGTTGCGTGCTGCATACAGAATTTCCTCCTTCAAGGCGTAAAGTGCAAGACAGCAGATCACGTCTCTAGGTGGAGCCTCTGGTGGGCCCCTGGGTCTCAGTGCTCTATGGGCTCTGATGAACTCTATGGGGGTCTCTCTGGGGCGGCTCAGGAGCTCGTTGAAGATGGCGGTGAGTGTGACTTTAAGCTGGGCGGGTGAGTCTTCACCTTCTTGTAGGCCTCTTACTCGTAGGTTCTGTCTGCGGCCTCTATTGTCCAGGTCTTCTATATGTCTGGCCATGGCTTGCATTTGGGCAGATCTTTTAGAGTAGTTTGTGGCTTGTGCCGTTTGTGTCGCAGTGAGGGCGTCGTGATCTGCTTCTATTTGGGCCATGCGGTCTGCCATCCCCTGAATGTCTGCCCTCATCAGCTGCAGGTCTGACTTGATAGAGGACTGGAGGGCTGAGGTGGCTTGGGTGAGGTCTGCCCGCGTGGGTAGAGCCCTTAGCAGGGCCATCCAGTCTGCAGGGGGGTTTTCCCCTGTGTCCTCTCGGGCTGGGGAGAGGGAGTGTGGCGTGGAGGCCTCAGATGGCGGGTAGGCCTCAGATGACGCCTGGGAAAACGGGTCCGGCGTCGCTGATAAGTACTGCCGCATGGAGGGGTTTTGGCTCACCTGGCGGGTCCCCGGTGGTCTGGGGGTGTTCCCCGCCTTGGTGTGTTTCCCCATCCTCCTGTCTGTGGCCGGTATTTTGTGCGTGGCTGAGTGGGGCCGGAGGAGCTCAGTCTCTATGCGGCCATTTCGTTCCGCCGCTAGGCCACGCCCCCCTACAGCTAACTTTTTAACCACTAAAGGGAATTGTATGATTTTTGAGTATGTTTGTTTTTGTAGTATGCTGATTCTGAAAATGTATGTGAATGTGATGTATACTTTTAGAGTTATGAATATTGGGTAAAACTGTGTATTTTCCTGGCTGTGATAATTACTTTAGCCCATTGTGTTCAGTAATTATCACAGGCAGAGGGGAGGATTTTGAATGTAACTGTAATGAATGGGAGTGTCAGACATTGTTGTATTGTTTTGATTGGTTTGTGTCCTTTGTATGCCTGTGTACCATCAGGTCCAGGGGGTGAGCCTCTGGCCTGGGGAATTGTATAAATTGTGAGATCTTGCTTCCATTAGACAGATTCGTGCTTGACCCTCAATACGGAGCCTCGTCTCGTCTTGCACTTGAGGGGGATTATTTGTATGGGTTTTCCTGTTCGGCAGTTTGGAGTGTAAACCTTTCGTATGGTTTTTCCTGTTCGGCAGATTGGTGTATTCGGTAGCTGCCTTTGTATCTGGAAAGGGAATATCTCCTAAACGGCTTTAACCCCTTTTATGCCCAGGGTGTAGTTACATGCGATTATTCTGCAATTTGCCCCACGCCCTACGTATATTGCATATCATTGTATTTGTAAGTCGGGAGGTTTAGTTCAGCTCTATTTTAATTTTTCATCTCACTGTAATATTAATAAAGCTTGAGGTAAGTAAACATATATTCCGATAAAACATCCTGATGTTTGTGGGAGAGAAATTAGTAGAATTATATTTGCCTGTTACATGCCTGTGGCACCCTGGCAGTTATGTTAGCATTTGGTTTCATAGCAACAAGCCTTTTTTGGGGAGCTGTAGATGTTTCCGGTGACACTCCGGGAATTCTTTCCCATCATTACAGAGTTTCTAGGAAGGATCACCGTTGTATGTCAGTGAGTCTAACTGATGGCATGCTTATTAGCTCACACAGGGATAATATTCAGGTGTCAGTGGATTGGAGTGATAGACACACTGGCTGTCTGATCAGCACGGGGAAAGTGGAAATTCAGATGGAAATCAAACAGACAAACATATTGAAGTGGCTGCAGTGGAATTTTGATTTCCATGTAAGTTCAAGCAAGTTAGACGTGTGCATGACTGATTGTGTGGTGTCTTAGGTCATGCAGATGGGAAACTTGGTGGCATTTGCGCTCCCATTTTAAGTGAGCAGCATCTGTCATGAAATGAAGAACAGGAATACCAGAATTTTAGTAGTTCTCAGCAAGCTCCAAAAGTGGGGCTTATGTATAAAAAGTACTGTGATCTCACAAGTGATCTAAAGTACTAAAAGCGGGACAATAATCTTGGAAACTCGTAGAACCAGCAGCAGGGTCGGTGCAACCGTTAGGCGAACTAGACATTCTCCTAGGGCACCAGCCTGCTAGGGACACCCACCCGGATGTTTCCTGGTGGGCTGCCTGCCTCTGTCTGGGGCCGCTGCACTGGGTAAGCAGCTCTTAAGCTGCCCCCCAGCGCC